CGTTTCTAAAGAGAGGCTGTTGCTTAGTTAAATTTGATGTAAAATTGATGTTGATGGTTATCGATAGTTATTCTAACAAATCCTTCTAATACTTTAACACCATAAATGGATATTCAATACGTTTATACAAAAAAACGTTCGGAATTTGGTCGACAAGTTCATTTTACTGATCGACCAGTTGAAGTAGTTGCTGATATTCAACCAAATCCTGAGTTAATTCATGAATATGTTGCTCGTAATCCGGTTGACATAGGAGTACAAAATGTCCGTGAATTTTCTGAACATTGGGTATGAATTTTGTAAAATAAACTTTCTTGTTTTTCTTTTTACAAGAAAATCTACAAAAAAAATTTCAGGTAAATACAGTTCGATTTGAAACAGAAAATCGAGGAATTAATCATGTTGAAGGTGGTTGGCCCAAAGATGTTAATCCACTTGAACCTGATCAAACATCACGTTTTCGAAAAAAAACTGAAAAAGAAGATGGTTATGGTCGTGCTATTCTATCACTAGGACATGTATAAATTTCTTTATTTTTTTTCATTCAAAGAACAAAAAGTCCATTGATTGTTTTCTTTTTAGTCTATTGAACATACAATAAAACAAAATAATGCTATTGATATTTATGAAAATTATTTCCAACATTTAGAACCAGATGTTGTTGAAGAAGCACCTTATGCTAAAACTATAAATATCTATCGGTATAATTAATTGCATTTCTTGATTCTTCGTTTCATATAAGAATTCAAATTTTAGTGATCCTCATAGTACTCCACGTACAGCTAATCATATTTCATGGTATGCTGATGGTCCACGAAAAATAGCTGTTTCATATTGTAATCTGGAATTTCAATCAGCAACCAGTGACTCTTTTATTGATTCATATATTTGGGATATTGGTATTTATTTAATTCTTTCTTTATAACTATTTTTATATTCGTTTTCAAATTTCTATTAGAAAATCCGACTAAACCTGATCTTTATCTCAAACCAATATCTCCACTTGTTTGTATTGAATTTAATCCAAAAGATACACATCAACTTGCTGGTGGTTGTTATAATGGTCAAGTTTGTAAGTTTGTCTTATTTGAAGTAGATTAGGTAGATATCTATCATTTTTTTTGAATAGGCATATTTGATACACGAAAAGGTAGTACAGCTGTTGAACAATCACTCATTGAAAATAGTCATCGTGATCCAGCTTATAAAGTCATTTGGTTACAATCGAAGTCTGGTACCGAATTTTTTTCGGCTTCCACTGATGGAAAAGTGATATTATATCTTTTATTTTTTCGTAAAAAAACAGACCTTTTAAATGAATAATTATCTATTTAGGTTCTCTGGTGGGATACTAGAAAATTATCTGAACCAGTTGAAACTCTAATATTAGATATTGAAAAGAAAGGTCGATTAGAAAATGCTCTTGGTGCTATGTCACTTGAATATGAACCAACTATGGTGAGTTTCATTTGTTTCGTCGAATTTCAATATAAAATTTGATTTTCATAGCCAACAAAATTTATGGTTGGTACAGAACAAGGTCGTATTGTATCATGTAATCGTAAAGGAAAAAATGATGCCGAAAAAATTGGTAGCGTGTTTCCAGGACATTGGGGTCCAGTCTATGCACTTCAACGTCATCCTAATTTTACCAAAAACTTTTTATCAGTTGGAGATTGGACAGTACGTATTTGGTCAGAAGAATTACGAGATGATTGTATTATGTGGACAAAGTAACTGAAATAAGAATATTTTTTAATGTAATAATGAATTATCTTATTAATTTTTCTAGACCAAGTATGCATGCAATTACTGATGCTCAATGGTCACCAATACGATCATCTATTTTCTATACAACTAAAATGGATGGTAAAAGAATAATATTTCATTTTGACATTAAAAAAAAATGATTTCTATTTCATTAAGGTACATTGGATGTTTGGGATATATTATTTAAACAAAATGAACCAACTTTATCACTTCAAGTTGTTGATGAACCACTTCATTGTTTACGTGTACAAGAATCACAAGGTCGTCTTATTGCATGTGGATCACAAAATGGTACAGTAACATTAATTGAAGTATCTGATAATTTATGCATACAAGGAAAAAGTGAAAAGGCTTTAGTTACTGGAGTAAGTTTTATACAATATAAATTAAATGTTTTCGGTTATAATTCAATAAATTAGATGTTTGATCGTGAAACAAGACGTGCGAAAATTCTTGAAGCACGTGGAAGAGCTAAACGTGATGCACGAACAAAATCAGCCCAAGGCGAAGTAAGATTACCTAAATTTTGCTTTTTCTTTTTTTTTTTCTATGATCTTGTCTTATTATTTAAAAGAAAGGTGAAAAACCAACAACTGAAGGTGGAGCAGGTGATTCAGAATTGAAAGAAGCTGATCCAATTGAAAAAGCTGAAAAAGATTTTTGGAAAATAATTGAAGAAGAAAAACGAAAACGAGATCGAAAAGTTATTGCGGTTAGTTTTTATTTAATAATTGTTTTTTTTTTCACTGTATAATTTCATCTGTTTCTTTTTTTTTTTGTAGGAGGATGAAAAAGCAGCTGCTGAAAGTGGAGCAGTAACTGAAGGAGAAGTAACAACTAATGCAACAACATAAATGATTGAAAAATAGATTTATTTTGTAATCAAACGTACACTTTTTCATTATATCTTCTTTTACTTTCTTTTTTGCAAACGAAAAAACTGATCATTAAATTGATTGTATTTTGCATTTGACATCGAATTGATTGAGAAAAGGTTGATCTTTGATGGAATAGGTATTGAGTTATTGAAAAATGATTCAAGAGTATGATTGTATTAAAAATATTGTTTACACTAGGGATTATTGATGAAACTATTTTAAAAGGCAGCATTAGTAATCTGTTCATGTGATTATAAATATGTTAATCGTCAAAAAAGTTGTGTCAGTATTTTAGTATACTAATAAGAATAGCATGAATCGATTGATTTATCATAATTGTTTATTTAATGATGTTTACCAAGAAATGTTCGCAAGTGTCAAATCGCTTTAGGCTTGAAACTCTTGTCATTCGATAGATCTTGATGATTGATAAAAAAAGTCTGTTTTTGTTTTGATCTTCGCTTGTTAAGTTATAAGTGATCTACACAAGTTTTGTTTTATGAGCATGGAATCCCTGAAAAACTAAATGATCGAAATTCGAGTTAAAGTTTTATCAATAGATCAGTTTTATAAACTTTAAAAAAACATCAGAGTTTGAACTCTTTCAGGTGTTCCAATTAACTATAAGGCTAACCTGCTCAACAAAGATTCACCTCGAAAATCGATCATTCAAGTTCTTAGTATTTCTATGCTTATCGAGCAACAATCGAGTCCAACAATCATAATTTAACAAGTGAAGACTGAGAAACCAAAACAAAATTGACTTTTTTCACTACACATAACGATCGATTGAATGGCAAGAATTTCAAGAAAAAAAATAACTTGATAATTGAGAACGTTATCATGTTAATATACACATACAGAGTTTCTTCTTATCTGAAAAAGACAATCATAAGATTTCATTAATCATTTTAAAGTTTGAATAATTGCATTATTTTTTTTTTTATTAAACATTGTTTCTCATTCTTTTTCTGAAGCAGCTCAAAGAATTGATTGAGTATGAATGTTCAATAATATTTAAACGAATAGTAACAAAAGTTAAATAATATAAAGAGATAAACATGTAAAATAAAGAAATTTTAAGTTAAATCTTTGTTTTCAATGCATTTAAATTATTTTTTGAAGATTTGGTAAGACTATTAAAGAATACTTGAAGTATCTTGAGAATAAAGCTCGGCTTAGAATATATATTATATACTATTGAAAGATTAGTCGGATGATTGCAATCATATTGACTAAGTTTTCATATTCCTTATTAATAAATTCAAATGCATTCACATGTTTAGTATAAAAAAGAAACATCAAAGAAAAATTTTTTAATAAGAAATTATTTATTTTCAATCAGATAACGTTGTACAAAAGAGAAAAAATAAATGAGTAATCCTATACAAAGACAAAACTGTTCAATACAAAAAGAAAACCAAATAAAATTTCAATCAATCTAACATTTGACTAAGTTCTGTAGCCAAAGCCATAATATAACGTAATTTTTCTCGATCTAATTTTTCATTTCTATTCATATGGACATGTATTTCAATAGAATGTTGTTGTTCAATTTGTTCAATATAACCTAGTATACATCGTAGTTTATAAAAATCATCATTTTTATAATGAATAGGTGAATATATTCGTATAATATGTATTTCAATATCATTATATTGAAATATATTTGTTATAATACTATATGAAATAATAGGAATAATATATTCTTGTAACGGAAGTGTTAATGGATGTGTTGGATCAAGTAATAATTCATTTTTAAATATTAATGAATAATTTTGATGATTTATTGTTGTATATGAACGAAATTCATAAAGAATATCTGGACGATAAGATGAAGTTTGTTGATGAAAACATTTAAAGAAAATTTTTGGTAAATTATCAATAGATTTTATTCGACCATTTTTATCAAAATGTATACGAATTTCATTATTTGTATGAATATTTAGACAAATAAGAATTATTTCACGTTGATGATCAATAAAATTCATTTTAAACCATGGAAATACTAAACACAAAGAATTTGAAGTTGATTCAATGTACTACAAAATAAAATGTAAATATAGATATAATGAAATAATTTTTTTTTTTTTTTTTTATAATAAATATTTTACTTCTTGTTTAATTGTATGATTAGATTTATAAAATATTTGTTGTAAACA